CTGCGCCTGCAACGCCTGGGTCAGCTCAGCAGACTGCTGGAGCTGCCCCCGAAGCTCCTGGATCAGGCCCTCCATGGCCAAGACCTAGGGGACGATGCCCTGGGTCTTCTGACTCCTCCTCGTCGTCTGCCTCGTCCTCTGTGTAAAGAAGCTCCTCCTTGGCCTTTCGCTTCTTCTTCTTCTTCTCTTTCTTTTCCTTCTTTTCCTTCTTCTCCTTCTTCAGCCGAAGGGCCCGGAGCTGCCGCTTGACAGCCCTGCTTGCTGCCTGCAGCACGTGAGGCTTTTGCTTCTTCTGCCTCTCGTCGCACGTGGTGCACGGATCCTGAAACGGCTTCAGGATATGTTCCCCAACTGACCCCGGAGGCAAAAGACCGCTCTCCCGAAGCTCACGTTGGGCCGCCACTCGCTCCCTGAAGGAAAGCGAAGCCCACTGCTCCTTCAGCTGTTCAACCCGCGGTGTGATCCTCAGCCGGTACCTTCTCTTCGGCTTTGGCTTTGCAACCGCTGTTCTCCTCACCAGCTCCTCGGAGTCTTTCTCAAAGCCCTGCTCGGCTCTCTTAAGCAGTGCCTTGTTGGATCGTCTTCCTCTCCTTTGGCTTTTGTTCGGCCTCTTCTTTGCCTTTGCCACAAGCTGCTGGTCCGGCTCACCAGCAGGGCGGTCCTTCTCCTCCTTCCGGGCCGACTGGCCCTTTGATTGGCCTTTCTTGGCCTTGCCCTTCCAGGGCTTTCCCTTGCCACCCTTGTGGCCTCCTTTTCCGGACCGCTTGCGATCCTTTGCCGTCTTCACCGACGGCGGCCGAGGAGCGCGAACGCTTCCCACGGCCCGTGGGGGAGCACCGAAGCGCGTCCACCCACCGAGGGGAGCACCGAAGCGCTTCCTCCTCGAGAGCTGCCCTGGGATCAGGGACGCAGCTCCGCTACCATGCAAAAGCAGGCGCGGGCAAGAAGGGCCTTAGTTATATATACCAAACCACCGCACACGAACCCTCTGTTTTGAAGTGCGGGCTCTCACTGGTGATCCGGAAAGGGGCTGCACATACAAGTCACAGCTCACATCCTGAATAGGCTATTCCTGTTGACACCCCTCCACAGTTGGAGGACAAGCAGCTGATTTACCACAGCTAGCTTTCTGAACAACTGCCAACGCCTATTCGCCGCACTAGCTAGCCCAGCTCACTTAGAGGGTCGCTAGCCTTCAGCTCAGGCCGAGATCCACTCAAACCTTCCAGCTGGCTATCCATTCAGACAACACATGCTTGTGTCTGATGCTCTCATACTTGATCTTGCATTGGGCTCTTCTCGCGTGGATGTACAGGACATACCGAAGTTGCTTGGTCGTAGGACGATCCACACCTCCATCCATGAAGCATGGAGCCAAGCGATCCACGAGGTCACTCTTGATCCCTGTCACCGGGAGTGATTCCACCCTCGCTCCTCCTTGCAGCTCTGTCACCGTCAGCAAGGACAGTGTGTCCTTCACCACACGTAGTCTTCCCGCGTCTCCCCCGACTTGAGGTTCCAACGCAGGGCCTTCCTGGCTCAGTCCAGAGCCGCTTCCACGAAACCCTTCCGCCTCCGAGGCGGAGCTTTCACTACTGCGCGCCAAAGCACGCCCACTTGAAACTCTCTCCTCGTTTCTGGCACGGCGTCTCAACTTGGAGTGCCAGTCGCCAGTGCTTTCCGCTGCCTCTCTGCCCAGCTCCACCGGACTGAGGGCTGCAGACGAAGAAAACGCGCTGGGAGCCATGGCTTCGCGAGGTAACCCTGTTCTGGGGCCTAGGCCCCTCTTTCCTTCACTTAGTAGCCAAGCCCAGCCCTTCAAACACCAAGTGCTCACCTTGAACACCGTAACCACCAAACCGACCAAGGCGAAAAGGTAAACCACCAGGACACTAAGATCCCCTGAGTCATCGCGAGATGACTCGTGGCCTCCTTCTTGCATGGCCTGTCCCATGGACACACAGCAGGCTAGCACAGCTGCCGCGATGCCCCTTTCCAAGGGCAGCTGCTTCACTAAGGACTCTAACCTGCCTGCTTCTAGAGCCTTCGTGCCGAGGTCGGCGAGGTTCATTGATGTATCCACCTTTCCGATGGAAAACTCTTTGTCACGTACTGCTTGTTGAATCCACATCTGCTTCAGGCTTAGATGCTTCACCTTTCCACATCCTACCCTTTGCGCTATAGATCTTGCTGCCGAGCTGTCGCTCAGAACTGCGTGCCGGATCTTCCAACCAAAGTGCTCGAGGATGGCGTGCGTGAGCTTGCCCTCCGCTGCTGTCTTCACCATCGCGTAGAACTCTGCTTCCCCCGATGATAGTGCCACCAGGGACTGCCGCCCACAGCAGCAGTCAATCAGATGCTTCCCAAACCTCTGGTAGGTCGATGACATGGACTTTCGGGTCCTCTTGTCGGTTGCCCAATCGGAGTCTGAAAAGGACTCAAGGACGCTGGGCGCGGTCTGGAGTTCAAAGTGCCACCGCTCAACCGGGTAGGAGACAATGTATCTCCCGACTCTTTTGAGCCGAAGCCAATGGATCTCAAGCGGCTTGCTCATTCCTTCTGCCAGCTCACTCGCCGCAAACTGCAGCGAAGGTCGGTCCACCGACATATAAAGGATGATGCCCGCCACTCGGCGGAAAACCTCCGCTCTCTCCTGGTCCAGCTCTTTGTCCGCAAACCGGTTCCCGGCTCCAGTGGCCTTCGAAGACGGCGTGTCTACGCCCTTGCAACCCTTGAGGTTCAGCTCCTCCACAACCTGTTCAGAGTACTTCGGGTCCGCCTCCCAGGTGAACCCAGAGCCTGTCCACGTGATCACACGACCCAGGTGCCTACCTGTTGTAGTCTCCCCTCCATGGTTCGGGTCTCCGATCCGAGGCAGCACCTTCACCTCGTAGTTCTTCTTCATGATCTCATCTAGGCGGTCAAGCTCACTCGCTTCCCCACTCGCCAAGAAATCATCTCCGTGGCATGAGAGTGCCACGTCACCGGCACCGTAGTAGTAGGTGTTGGGGCACAGGAGTAGCTCATCATACTCGCTGCCCTTCTTCACCTTTCTGATCTTCTCGCCCCACTGTCGGGACGCCTCGCGCGTTCCATTCATGGCCTTGTGAAGCTCCCAAATCACATCGGGAGTGCCTTCCGAGGCCGGTGGTATCACACCGATCCGCTCACTGTTCTCGGCGTGGAAAAATGCCACGCTCACATCATACCTCGCCACCAGCTTCTTGCTCACCTTCTGTCCTGGCTTCGCGGTGGCGGCATGCGAAATCACCGCACGATGCACCCTCAAAGGGGGAGTGCCCATTGACACATCCTCCCGTTTGTAGGTGTTCACCTCCTGGGCCACAAGCCTGCTCCTCACACCAGGCTTGCCGTTGATCTCCTTGGCGGTGTCGACCCACCGCGACTTCACCAGCCTGAGGCCCTTGCTCCTAGCCTCCTGGTAGCTGATGTCACTCTTCACGTTGAAGGTCTCCATCTGTCCCTTCTCCTTTGCTCTTCCTTGTGCCACCTGCTCCTCGTCAAGAAGCTCACCTGTTCTTTCGTCGTACGCTGCGGCCACGACCGTGGTGGCTAGGAGGTCGGGCTCCACCGGCCACTCGTGAAGAGTTGGCAGACCCGCGATGACTTCACCATCATCGTCTCCCTGCGGTGCGGGGCCATCTGCCTCTCGCTTCCTGCTGGGAGTCCTTGGGCTCGAAGGGGGTTCGCCAGAGCTTTCTACCCTAGCCTCTTTGGGCCGGCTACCATCCGAAGAGGCGCCTTCACGCTTGCCCGTAACCCTTCTTGGGGTTTCTGCGCTGGGGCGAGAAGGTTCTCTACCACCAGCTTGTGCTTCCGAGGAGCCTGCACCAGCATCCATCGGAACATCCCCTCCATCACCCGTTGCCGCCCCCTTGGGCGCCACCTCCTGCTCCTTCGCAACAAGATCCGTAAACCTTGCGCGGCACTCAGGGCTGTGTCTGCCCGGCGCTTCTCCGTAAGGAACGTCGCAGCCTGGGCAGCCCTCGGTCCGACCGTACTTGATCAGCCTTTCGGCCGTGATGTACACGCCCTTAGGCTTTGGCACATTGCCTTCCAACCGCCCCTGTGGTAGGGGCCTTCCGGGCGCCAATGGCGTTCTCTCTGGCACGCCACGCGGCTGCCACGGGGTGCCCGCCATCTTGTCCAGGTAGTCCTTCTCAAAACGCTTCTTCTCCACCCGTCGGCGGATGGACCGGCATCTCTGAATGCCGTCTGCCGTTGCAACAAAGTGCTCGTCGTTGCTGAGGCTCTTTCCCAGCCAAACCCCACACGACCAACGGTCTTCTAGCTTCCTAAGACTCTGGTTCGAAATCTTATAAAGCACAACCTCCCCGAACTCAGCAACCTCACCCTTGTAACTCCGGCCCCTTAGCCT